TGTTTTGGCCTTTAAAGTAATTAAATATTTTTTTATTATTAAAACTAAACAATTTTAAAAAATTTTTATAAATTATTTTACAAAAATAAAATTAAATTCTATAACAATTAATACTTTTACTTTTTATTCAATAACAAATTAAAGTAAAACATTATTATCATAATTTGTATTTTAATTTATAGTAAATATTTATAATAAAACATAATTTTAATTTTATGACAAAAACTTACGAATGATGTTTGGAAGTTATGTATTACTCTATTTATATTATCGCCCCATATAGTAAGTTGAACTTTCCAGTCAATATTATTTGTTAAAAGCACTCGGCAACGTTCAACATTACCGTTTTTAGTTTTTACAGTAATTTTGCCATCGACTCTTTCCACCATAGCGATAAAACATCTGAAAATATATATAAAAATAATTAACACTTTATATTTGTTATAATATTATTTGTATTTATAATATATATGTATTATAATTAATATTACATATTTGTATTAAAACATAAGAAATTAATAAAAAATTAAATAAAACTTTTAATGTGTTTTTTATATATCAGCTTAATTATATGACATTGCGCAATAACTTATTTTATTATAAATTCTTCATTCATAATTATTATAATTTTACAAATATAATAATAATATTAACTTTATGAGAACAAATTTATAAATATGAAGTTAAAAATTAAAAAAAACAATTTATTGTGATAATACTTACATTGTGCCATCATTAGGTAGCATAACTTCAAAAAGTTCCCTCGGTGAGACATATAACGTAGGAGTATCACACAAATCATAATAAATGTCTGAATCACTGTCCATGTTTGAAATTTTATTTTACAATTTTGTTGTATTAGACAAATAAAACACCAAAATATAGTAAATATTGTAATTTCGTATTTATATTTTGTTTTATAAAAGTACAACCAGATGCACTTCTATTATTTGTAGGTTACTATAGCATTCGCTTTTAGCAAAAAGATTCTGATATAAAACAAAATAAGAAATATTTGCTTTTCTGATCTTCATTTGCATTGCTGAAAAAAAAGAAAGTTAAAACAAATAAAAATTAATGGATTTTTAAGGATACATGTACACTCAGTTATAGAAATACTTCAACATATGAATTGAAAATTAAACTTTTGAAATTTTACATTCTTGAGTAATATCCTTAAGGAATAATTTTTTTATTTTATTATAAATTATTTATTTTTATTAATTATATTTATTTTATTTATTAAATATATTTATTTTTATTAATTATAAAATTATCAATATTATATAATATATATAGTGTATTTTATCGATAATGTAGAAAAAAGAGAAAAATAGTATTAACTTAAATATACATAATATATAAATATATTTAATTTTTAAATATTTATAAAAAATATTCTTGATATACATTTTTCCTTATATTTTCTATTCTTTTTTATAGTTTCTACATATGTATGTATATTATAATAGGAATATCTTTTTATTATTTTTTATTATATTTCTTGTCTGAAATATATTGTTAAAATGATACTTTTTTAATATAATATTAAAAATATATTTATAATATTTTTAATATTAAAAACAAATGCACTTTAATGTAACCAATGCATTAAAATTAATAATTACACATATCTTTTAAATTTCTTCTTGTTGTACTGGACCAATTTGTAGAACTTAAAATCCTATACTTATGTGATATATTTTATTATATTTATGTGAGAGATATATTTCCTATACTTATGTGAGAAATATATTTTATTAAAATAAAAAGCCTGTTGAGTAAAATTATTGCATCTAACAATAAATTAAAAATTGTGTGTATGTGTGTGTGTATGTGTGTTTGTGCGAAGTAACAATTTATAATTTAGTATGCGATACATATTGTGTTAATAGAACTTAAATTAATAAGTTTTAGTATCTTTTTATTATTTGCACTATATATGTATATAAAACTGCTTATTTTAATTATATTAACTTCGAATTAAAATTATTAGAAATATTCTGATTTTGAAGAAGCTAAAATTGATATGGACATCTAGATATAGACATCAATATTATTATTTACCTTTATTATTTATTGTTATTATTTATTATATTTATTTTTATCTATTATATATATTTTTGTTATGATAAACAATAAAAGATTAATATTAAATTATTTATTAATATTTAATACATTTATAGTAATTGTATATATATATATGTGTATATATATATATGTATATATGTATATATGTATATATGTATATATGTATATATGTATATATGTATATATATATATGTATATATATATACATATATATATATGTATATACACACACACACACACACACACACACACACACACACACACACACACACACACACACACATATATATATATATATTTTTTATTACCTGTTCTGTCTTATTTATTAATGGCCAAATCACTTATTCCAAGCAATTATTTGCATACCGTGGCTTCATCGTTGCAAGAAAAAATTAAAGAAATCCTATTTCTTGTCACTGATCATTCTTTTCGAAATAATTTCATTGAAAATTTAAAATCACGTAACCTGCTATTTTCCTATATGTTAGAAAGATATTTTATTAAAATAAAAAGTCTCTTAAGTAAAATTAATGTATTTAAATTAAAAATTGTGGGTGTGCATGTGTGCATGTGTGTATGTGTACGGAATAATTAAAAATAACCTGATTTGCTATTACGTCCGTCCTCATAAGAGGTCGACAATGGCACAGTATATTTTTTTTTCATTTTTTATGACCGTAATTGATCTGAACAACGATCAATATATTCAGGCCAACAACTGATTTAAATTTTGTCTACGGCTAAAGTCCTCGTAAGAAGTTAAACTCAAAAATTCTTGTTCGAAGGACACACACGTAAAACATGTCCGCACCGGTTCAAGGCCAGTAACCGTCTCACGGTACAGTAATGCAACTCTCTGTCGGCATCTTTGAGTGACTGATCTGAAATTGTATATTTCAAATAAATCACCCAGTATAGTGTATGTCCCAATGTCAGATGTCTCGTCCTGTATAGTGTGTGTATAATAGGTTAAGGTGTATAATAGGTTAAAAAGAGATAAAGAGAGAGCAAGCGAAACAGAAGGTCACTGCCGTGATTGGTTCCCTACAAAGTTCGCGCATGTGCAATTCATTTTTACCCATGCTGAAATTACCAAAGTTGGGCTACTATACTGTGACAACGGACTGACGAATGTCAACAAATAACGAATGGTGACATCCTGGCTTCCTTTTCGCGACGCTCAGCATCATGCTCTTTCTTTAATATATAATGAGCAACAAAGATAAAATGCTTTCAGCGCGTCCAAAGGAAACGCAAAGAAATTGACCAATCACAATACGTAGTAATAATTTCGCTTGCCTTACGATGCACTATGATTGGTCGTGTATAGTCAAAGATTATGATTAAAGATTAAAACATTTTTATATACAAATGCCTTAAAAATGTTCTACGTTACATGTCCACGATACAGAACTTAGTCCGAGTTCTCGGTTCAAGAAATGCGTAACTAATAAAGCTTGATTTATGCAGACCGTAACTAGTAATTTATGCCGTAAACTATAAGAAATTGTTCGCGAGCGGATCCGGCAAGAGATTGCGCGAACGTGGAGGATAGGCCAGTGCAGTGAAACTCGTGATATTCACACAAAACGACAGTTTATTAGAGTTCAACGTGACAAGTGTACAGTGCAACGAGCGGTGCGACAAGCGAAGCGGTTAAACTCGCGGGAGATCGCGAGCGGCGTGATAGATCGAGCGTGCGGAAAATCAAAGTCCGAGAAGAATAGCGGTTGACGTATAATATTTTGCGGTTTAACTGAGCGGTGAGATTAAGCGGTATAGAAAGCGAAAAGTGCGAGACTTCGCCGTGCCCTCTCGCTGGGCTCGTTATATACCGGGCGGATTTTGGGCCCCGTTGCGACGTGGCCCAATTAACTTTGAAATTTGGCGGTGACCTCATGGCGCCACGCATAATTGGCCGCCGATGAGGTCAGGAAATAGCGTTGTGACGTTTGCCATGCGCACGACCCTTTTCGATCAGCTGATTGGCCATCAGCTGATCGTGACGTATGGGCGCGCATGCCCGTATGTTGTTTTAGTTTTGACGGCGGTTGACAATGTTATTGTCAACCGCTTAATTTCAAGCGGTTTTAGGCGGTGCAAAAAACGAGCGGTGACTCGAACGTTCGAGTTTTGTTTACCGAACGAAGGCTCGAGAAAGTTCTCGATGCCCGTTAGATTTGAAATACGGATTTTAGCAACGCGAAATTTTACATTGAGATGATCGATTACGCATTTCGAACATCCCGCCCGCCTCGTCAGCGCGTGACGAAATTCGCGAGTATGAACGGGGACGGACAGATGTCGCAAGCGATTCAATTGGCGGTATCTGGATCGCGATCGATGAATGGAATGTGTGACGCAATATGACAACACGTGTTGTTCAGTTGATTTCTATCTTTCGCTAGACTGAGAGTTGCGGTAGTGAAATACGGTGATATTTACAGTGAAATAATGAGAAGTAGTGCGATGTGAAGTGCAATGACTAATGGAGATCGATTGTGCATCGCTCGGGGATGCACAATGTACAGTGAGTGGGTGACTAGTGATGTGCGAATGAGGAAATCGCGGCGAGAACGCGAGATGGACGACGGACGGCTGTAATAAACAAAATATATACACGATATATACACTATGTACAATGTAGTGAGGCGCGCAAGACTCTACACAACGCGGGGAGAATAGTGCCCGAGCATTATTCGTCTACGGACGCGCGAGCCTCCTTGACTCCCGGTAAAAGGACGAGTTTTACGACTGGCCGAACGAGATCCGAGGTAGAGGTGCGGACAGTCACAACGCGGACCGTGCCATCGCTTCCTGGATGCAGGGCGAGTATTCGCGCGAGGGGCCATCGGGAAGGCGGGGTGATCTCCGAGCGGATGAGGCACAATGAGGCACAATGTTCCGACCTCCGGAGCGGGCTCGGAGTTGAGCCATTTTGATCGAGGTGCCAAGGCGTGGACATACTCCTGAGACCATCGCTGCCAGAAGTGGTCACGCATTCGTTGTAGCAGCTGCCACCGGGATAGGGCGTTCGGAGGCCGTTCGGCTAGGGAAGGCTCTGGGACCGCCAGTAGAGGGGCGCCTATTAGGAGATGCCCTGGAGTCAATGCGGTGATGTCGTCGGGGTCATCTGATAAAGCCTGCAATGGACGAGAATTTAAACATGCTTCGATTTGTGAAAGAAGAGTACTCATCTCCTCGAAGGTGAGCGTAGTCTCTCCTATCACCCGTCGCAGGTGATGTTTCATGGATTTCACCGCCGCTTCCCAGAGGCCTCCGAAGTGCGGCGCGGCGGGAGGATTGAAGCGCCAGGATATTCCTTCCTTGGCAACTTCCCGAGAGATGCGACGGCCGTCGGAGGACGACGCGCGGAAGAATTCTCGGAGTTGGTTGTCCGCTCCGATGAAGTTAGTTCCGCAGTCCGAGTACATTTCCTCGCACAGTCCGCGACGGGAAACGAACCTGCGGAATGCTGCGAGGAAGGCGTCAGAGGAGTAGTCAGATACTACCTCAAGATGGACGGCTCTGGAACAGAGGCAGACGAACACGGCTATGAACGCCTTGTGAGCTCGATGTCCTCGCCCCTTGGAAGTGCGGAGGAATATCGGGCCAGCGTAATCGACTCCTGTCCTCAGGAAAGGGCGTGCTGGAGTGACTCGCCCCCGAGGGAGGTCGGCCATGAGGGGCCGTGGAGTGTGGGCTCGCCAGCGGGTGCATGTCACGCACCGGTGCAGTGTCCGCTTGATTACGGCTCGACCTTGCGGCACCCAGAAGCGGAGGCGAAGGAGCCCCAAAGTGAGCTGAGTGCCTCCATGAAGCGTCCGGCGATGGCAAGACTCTATCACGAGCTTGGTGAGCCATGAAGTGGGCGGCGCTATCATAGGATGTCGTTCATCGTACGTGAGTATTGCGTGTTTCAGGCGGCCGCCGACGCGCAGGATCCCGTCATCGTCGATGAATGGATGCAGCCTGGCCAGGTGGCTACCGCGAGGCACTGGGCGAGACTCTCGTACGGCGGTTAGTTCAACGGCGTAGTGGATCCCTTGGACGATTCTCAGCCAGCGAATGAGGGAGGCGTCGAGCTCGTCCGAGAGCAGTGCGACGCTGGGAGGATGACGAGTGGTCCGGCGCCAACGAAGGCACCAAGCAGAGACACGTAAGAGCCTATGCAGTGTTGAGAACTGTAGGAGTATTTCAGGCTCCGGTCTGATCTTGCTGATGGCCGTTAATACCGTGGTTTTTGTTTCAGGAACGCTGACCATTGATGCCTCGTCGCTGGCTGGCCATAGTGACGAGTCGCCGAGAAGCCAGCCGGGGCCCTGCCACCATAGGGGGTGGTTCAGCAGATCCCTCGGAGCGATCCCTCTGGAAGCACAATCGGCAGGATTCTCTTGACCCGGGACGTGTCGCCACTGCGCTTCGGGGAGCCGCTCCTGGATCAGCGACACTCTATTGGCCACGTAGGTTTTCCATCGTGAAGCATGACCCTTGATCCAGTGGAGAACAACCTTGGAGTCGGACCAGAGATATACTGGCGCCGACACCTCCAGTGATGACCGGAGGTGGTGAACGAGATTGGTCAGCAGGGAGGCAGCGCAGAGTTCCAGCCGTGGGAGCGTCACGGGCTTAATCGGCGCGACCTTGCTTTTCGCGGCCAGTAAGTGGATGGACGTCTCTTCCGTACTGGACACGCGAAGGTAGACGACGGCCGCGTATCCACGCTCAGACGCGTCGGCGAAGCCGTGGATCTCGACCGTCGGATCCTGTTGAATGACACCCAGCCAGCGCCTTATTCGGAGGTGCTCCAGCAAATGGAGCTCGGAGAGGAGGCGCTGCCAAGACTGAGCGTCCTCCGCTGGGAGCGGAGAGTCCCAGTCCAGCCTTTTCAACCATGCTGACTGGATTAAGATCTTGGCGCGGATGATCACAGGAGTGAGCCATCCCAAGGGGTCGAATAGCCGTGCCGTTTCCGCCAGGACTCGCCTCTTAGTGAATTCGCCAGTGCTTCGAGGCTGGATGGCGAAGGAGAAGTCGTCGCTGGCTGGATGCCAACGCAGGCCTAAGGTGGAGTGTACCTCGCTCTCCCAGGAATGGTGTGCCTGTTTGAGTCGATGATCGGGAGGAACACCCTCAAGGATGGCCTCGCTATTGGCGGCCCATTTCCGCAGCGGAAACCCGCCCGCCGTGCAGAGCTCTCGGAGCTCCGTCTGCAGGGCGACCGCGTGCTGCAAGGTGTCCGACCCGGTGATCACGTCGTCCATGTAGCAGTCATGGCGCAGAGCGGTTGCTCCCTTTGGGGCTCGTGCCTCCTCGTCGGCCGCCAGTTGGTGGAGAGTGCGGACAGCGAGGAACGGAGCACAGGCGAGCCCGTAGGTCACGGTGTTCAGCTCGTACTCTTGAATCTTGCCGGAAGCCTTTGGACGCCAGAGTATCCGCTGGAAGCGACGATCTTCAGGGTGGACGAGTATCTGCCGGAACATCTTCTCGATGTCGGTGACGAACACGAAGCGGTGCCGGCGCCAGCGAAGGAGGACATCAGCTAGTGCTGGCAGCAAGTTGGCGCCGATCAGCAGATGTCGGTTGAGGGAGTCCCCCGAGGCGGTACGTTGCGACCCGTTGAAGACGACGCGGAGCTTGCTGCAGGAGTTGGACTGGCGGAGGACTCCGTGGTGAGGTAGGTAGCATCCTGCGGTACCGACCGTATTCACAGGACTCATGTGTTTCAGGTCCTCGTACTCCTGCATAAACTCCCGATACCGGACGCCGAACTCAGGATCTCTCTTGCTCCGAAGGTCCATCGCTGACAAGAGACTTTCAGCCGGTTTACGGGTTCCACCAAGCGACGTTGGCGGGGAAGAAAACGGGAGTCGTACTACGTATCTTCCGGACGCCATCCGCTGGTGAGTACTTATGAAGAGGGTCTCGCACTCTTGATCCTCCGGTCTAAGGGCACCGGAGGAGGGGAGTTCCCTTTCCTGCTCCCAAAAGCTGTGCACAAGCTGATTGAGCTCTTGGTCGACAGTGCACTGCAAGGAGTTACGGGGTCCTTGGAAGGGTGCTGCGCTGGACCCCCCTGACAGGATCCATCCCAGGGCTGTTTTCTGGGCAATGGGATCTTGAGGACTACCCTTGCGAAGGCCGACTTCAAGGATGGTTGAGCAGACTTCCGCGCCCAACAATAGTTCTACCGGATCGAGCTCCTGATACCTGGGGTCAGCGAGCTCAAGACCATGAACGTGAGGCCAGGAGGGGAGGTTCTTCACCGAAGAACCCTGATAGGCCGACAGGCGCGGTAACACGAAGGCGACGGCCTTGAGTTTGGCTCCGGTGATCATCGAGGAGAGACTGAGTGCCACTCTCCCGCGGGTTGACCCGGATCGTGATTCGCCGATGCCGATTATGGACACTGAGGAGCGGGAGCGGGGAAGTCTCAGCCGTTGGACCAGTGCTTCGGAGATGATCGACACCTCGGATCCTTGATCGAGCATCGCTCGGACCGGATGAAGATCCCCGGCGCGGTCAGTGAGGTGCACGCGAGCTGTCGCGAGGAGGATCGCTTTACGCTCAGACGAGGAGTGCATCGCAGACAGGGCGTTCACCTCGTTGGAGGAGGGCGACGTGTACGCGTCGTGCAGTGTAGTATGGTGCTTGCCCTTGCACGTCAGACAGGTCTTCACAGACTGGCACTTGGAGATCATGTGGTTCCCGAGACAGTTGTAGCACAGTCTACCTTGCTCTACAAAGGACTTTCGGTCTATCGCGGACTTCGCCTTGAAGTCGTTACACTGCATGAGGGTGTGCTTCCCCTGGCACAGTGCGCACTTCAAGTGATCGGATCCGGTCTTCGTGTGGTGAGCTTTCGCGGTTCGCGACGCGCCATCGGAGTTTGGTTGCAATACTCGTGGCCTAGCGGCGTTTAGCGTGAGAATGCGCTTAGCGATGAAGTTGACGAGAGCGCCGTGGTCTGGCGGATCAGTGGAGTCGCAGGTCGAGGACTCCCATTCCATCCGTGTACGCGAATCGAACAATTCGACGGTGAGAAAATTGAGGAGATCCATACCGTGGGAGTTGATGGGTCTCCCTATACTCTCCTGCGCGTTCACCGCGGTCGTTACGGCGTTGTGAATGCGACCGAGTTCTCCCGCTGACTCGCACTTCATTTTGGGAACGGAGGTGAACGCGGCGAAATTAGAACGGATAAGCTCCCTTTTGTTTTCGAAGTGCTTGCTCAAAATCGTCCAAGCGCGATGGTAATTATCACCGGTCACCGTTAATGATTTTATCAATTTTTCAGCGGCTCCCTTGACACAAGACCGGAGGTAGTGAAATCGCTCGATGTCGGAGACTGACTCATTCGCCCCGATGACTGATTGGAAGAGGTCGCGGAATGACGGCCATTCTTCGTAAGATCCCGCAAACGTCGGAAGCTTGATGCGCGGCAACGAGGTTTTAGGAGCCCGATCGTGGTCCGGCTCGCCTCTGAGCGCGGCGGGCGTTTCGCCCTTAAGCTTCTCAGCGTAGCTGGTCAGCGTGCTACGTTGTGTCACGTAAGTATTCTCCGCGACTTCAATAAAATCAGATACAGCGTACTCACTCTCCTGATACTTGTCCTTCAGCGCCGCACGAATGAGCTCATGCTGGGTCTCCATTTTTTGCCAGAGATTGTCCAGGATGCCGAGGCGAGCTTGGATGGCGTCGCGGGTGATGTTGCTCACGCCCATCTTCCTCAGATTGTCCACGGCGCGGGAGATCCGACCATGAATGTCGTGCTGCGCTTCCAGCAGCACCTTCACTTCAGCACTCATGTCTAATATCTCTTTTGTCTTTTCAGAGGTCACTTCACTCCACAAACTGCACGAGAGGATCACTCACGAAACAGCGGACGCGGATGATGGAATCCGGCTCGAAGGACCAGAAATGTTCGCGAGCGGATCCGGCAAGAGATTGCGCGAACGTGGAGGATAGGCCAGTGCAGTGAAACTCGTGATATTCACACAAAACGACAGTTTATTAGAGTTCAACGTGACAAGTGTACAGTGCAACGAGCGGTGCGACAAGCGAAGCGGTTAAACTCGCGGGAGATCGCGAGCGGCGTGATAGATCGAGCGTGCGGAAAATCAAAGTCCGAGAAGAATAGCGGTTGACGTATAATATTTTGCGGTTTAACTGAGCGGTGAGATTAAGCGGTATAGAAAGCGAAAAGTGCGAGACTTCGCCGTGCCCTCTCGCTGGGCTCGTTATATACCGGGCGGATTTTGGGCCCCGTTGCGACGTGGCCCAATTAACTTTGAAATTTGGCGGTGACCTCATGGCGCCACGCATAATTGGCCGCCGATGAGGTCAGGAAATAGCGTTGTGACGTTTGCCATGCGCACGACCCTTTTCGATCAGCTGATTGGCCATCAGCTGATCGTGACGTATGGGCGCGCATGCCCGTATGTTGTTTTAGTTTTGACGGCGGTTGACAATGTTATTGTCAACCGCTTAATTTCAAGCGGTTTTAGGCGGTGCAAAAAACGAGCGGTGACTCGAACGTTCGAGTTTTGTTTACCGAACGAAGGCTCGAGAAAGTTCTCGATGCCCGTTAGATTTGAAATACGGATTTTAGCAACGCGAAATTTTACATTGAGATGATCGATTACGCATTTCGAACAGAAATTAACCAATTATAGTCGATTATTCTTCTCATACTTAATTTTGATTAGTCAGTTTAATTTCTTACAGTTTACGATATTTACCAGTTACGACCTGCATAAATCAGGTTTAAGATTACTGCTTTTCCATAAAAATTGCAAGTTGATTGGTTAAACATTTTTGGGATCAAGAAAGTTCTAATATTCATGAACACTGAGTCTCTAAAAAAGTTAAATGTTTAATTGATATCGATACTTGAAACTCGAATATCTCGAAGTATTGAAAGTTGAAACCTCTTTTTGCAATGCTAATTGTCTGTGCAGATTCATGTTGTTAAACTGTTAAACTGTCAAACAAATTTAAATAGATTGTAACACGAATTTATTTTAACAATTTATAGAAAATAATAGATATAAAATATAAAAAAAAGAAAGAAAGAAGAAAAAGAAAACGATAGAGAACAAAGCAGATAAAGAAGAAGAAGCGAATAAAAAGAAGTATGCATAAATTGTAAATAAATTTTAATATTATATGTAAATATGTAAATAATTTTTAAATATTCTGCTATTTATAATTGTTATGTTCGTATATATAGCAAAAAAATTAGGAGATCACTTTAAAACTTATAAATTTTATCGACATTTAAAAAATTATATTTCAGCTTCGGGAGGTCGTACAATGGTGTTCCAAAGCGCATTTTAAAGGGTGTCTCTCTTTAGTGTCAACTTTAAGGTGTCAACTTTAAGGTGTGTAAGGTCGCGCCTCATCGAATTGTATCACGTCTGAGGTCCAAAGTAAGACCATAAAAAAATTTCAAAAATTTCATGATTTTATAATCATGCACGGAGAAAGCAGAAATGGGATAAAATATGCCACTACATTGGCTTTAAAGTGGGCATCTTCCCCTTTAAAATGCGACCACGTAATACAATTCGATCAGACGAGCAATGCGATCTCACACGCTTTAAAGTTGTTACTTTACTTTTTAAAATGCGCTTTGGAATACCGTCCTACGACCTCCTGAAATTGAGATAGCTTTTCAAAAATCAACAAAATTTACAAGTTTTAAAGTGATTCCCTAATTTTTTGCGTAGTATATGTACAATATTAATCTATTTAAGAGTATAAAATAATAATTGCAGAAGAATTGACAAGAAAAAGAATTGTGTAGTGAGAGTAAGAGAGACAAACAGAGATAGAGAGAGAGAAAGAGAAGGAGAATTAAAAGGGAGTAAGAAGAAGAAGAGTCAAAAGAGGTGTGTGTGTGTGTGTGTGTGTGTGTGTGTGCGCGCGCGCGCGCGCGCGTATATTCTTATTATTTTGATTTTTATTATATATATGTATTAATTTCATAAATTTTTATTTAAAGAATAAATGGAGAAGGAAAGAAAAATAAAAAAGAAGAAAAAGGAGAGAAAATTAAGATAAACATAAAGAAGAAAGAAGGAAAAAAAAGAAAAAAATAAAAAAGGTAAAAAGAGAAGAGAAGAGAAAGAAGAAAAAGATAAAGAAAGAATCAATATAGAGACAAAAAAATAAAAAAGGAAAAAAAGTGTGTTAAAGTAATTAGTTTTTGTAATATACCATACATTCAATTTTGTAAAAGTTATTATTGTTATTTCTATTTAAATAAAATTTAACATTATATAGTATTTTGTTGTTTAATTTATTAACTACAAATTAATAACATTTATGTTATAAACAAAAACTTTGTTTTTAATATTTATATTTGGTACATTTTAATATTTCAATTTTATTTAGTCTCTTTTTCTCCATCTTGTGTACATTTTACACTGAATAAAAGTAAAATTTAATTTTTAACAGAAAAATTAAGTTAATCAATTATGGGTAAACGAAAAGTTATTCGTACTCCAGAAGAAGAGGAAGAATTTCAGCGATTGAAAAGAGAACGAAAGGCTTTAAATCAACAAAAATACTATGAAAGAAAGAAAAAAAATATTGCAAATAATACTATTGTGTGTGGGCTATCTAATAATAATTTGTCCAGAACTAATAATGGACAAATATTGCAAACACATAATATTACAAATTTATGGAAAAGAAATATGCAAAACGAAAATGTAGTGAATAGTATAGTTGGACCATCTAATGAAAATTTATCCAGAATTAATAATAAACAATTATTGCAAACACAAAATAAAATAGATTTACACAAAAGATATAAGCAAGAAGAAAATATAGCAAATAACATAGCTGGGTCATCCAATGATAATTTGTTCAAAACTGATAATAGACAATTATTGCAAACACATAATATTACAGATTTATGCAAAAGAAATATGCAAAAAGAAAATGTAGCGAATAGTATAGCTGGACCATCTAATGAAAATTTATGCAGAAATAATGATGAGCAATTATTACAAACACACAATAATACAGATTTAAACAAAAAAAGTAAGCAAAATTATAGAGCTAAATATAAAGGATTTCAAAACATAGACTGCCATAATTTAAATCAACATTATATAGGAAAAATGAATGTAGAATGCCAATATTGTAAAGCAAAGCATTTTCAGGCTGAAAAAGTTCACAATAAAGGTAATTCATTCAACGATTGTTGTAGTCATGGCAAAGTTATGTTAGAGCCTCTACCACCACTTCCTGATAAATTACAACAATTATTTTCTGGAAATCATCAAAAATCCAAAGAGTTTTTAACAAATCTACGAGGTTACAATAGTGCATTTTCTTTTGCATCTTTTAATGCTAACTTGGTTAATTTCAAAGCACAAAGACGAGGACCTTATTGTTTCAAAATTCAAGGTCAAATTTATTACCAAATTAACACTGCATTATATCCTGCTACAAAAGAACAATCAAGTTATGGACAGCTTTTTATACTTGACGCTAACGAAGCTACAGAATATCGTTTAAATGCAAATACAAATCTCGATGAAGAGTTATTGCATACGTTAGATAATATTATTCGCAGCAATAATATATTTGCTCAGTCATATGAAATGATGCACGAAGAAGTTCGTAATCAAGAAAATTTAGGTTTAAATGTACCTAATTTAACAATGGCATTCTTAAATAAGAAAATAGGTATTGATCGCGGAAGATATAATGTTCAAAGAATTAACGAAGTTGCTGCAATTTTTTCAACTATCGCAGATGGAGATATTCCTGATTGTTATGTTACAATTAGAAACAAATGTGATAAAACTTTAAAATATATTAGTACAATGAATCCAAACGTTGAACCTTGGATTTATCCCATGTATTATCCACATGGCACGCAAGGTTGGCACGATAATATTAAACAAATTAATGGAAAACGTGTAACTAGATCTATGTACATTCAATATTGAATGGCTATACGTGACAATATCAATATTTTTTTAATGGGTAAACGATTATTTCAACAATGGCTTGTTGACAACTATGTAAAAATAGAAAAAGATAGAATTAATTGGTGTAAAGAAAATCAAAAACAGTTGAGAATGGAAAAGTATCAGGGACTGATCGATTATTTAGAAAAAAAAGCGACTGATGCTAATGCTCGTGTTGGACGAGTAATGATACTTCCATCGACATTTATTGGTTCACCTCGAAATATGATGCAAAATTATCAAGATGCGATGGCTATTGTTCGCAAATATGGTAAACCAGATGTTTTCATTACAATGACCTGTAATCCAAATTGGCTTGAAATTAAAGAAAGTTTGCTTCCAAATCAACAACCTGCTGATAGACCTGATATTTGCGCCAGAGTTTTTGATGTAAAAAAAAATTATTTGATAGATTTGATTATTCGACAAGAATTTTTTGGTGAGGTAAAAGCATTTGTTTATGTAATCGAATTTCAGAAACGTGGTTTGCCACATGTGCATATGTTAATAACTTTAAAACAATATTGTAAAATTATTAATTCGGAAACTGTTGATAAGTATATTTCCGCTGAAATTCCGAATCCTGCTATTGATAAAAATTTGCATGAAATTGTCATGAAAAATATGATTCATGGACCATGTGGTGATTGGTGTGTGGTAAACGGAAAATGTTCAAAGCATTTTCCAAAATCCTTTTATGAGGAAACAACTATGGATGAAAATGGTTATCCACAATATCGTCGAAGAGATACTAACATTTCGTATGAGAAATCTGAAGAATTTGTAGTAGATAATCGATTTGTTGTTCCTTATTGTCC